AGACTGGGGTCCTGATATAGGGAGCAGACTTCCTGACATCTGGTTCTCAGGGCGACTGGAGTCCTGGTTTAAGGGCTGGGGGCTTAGTAGGGGAGAGGAGAGAATCCGAAGACCTACCCAGAGACAAGATGAGGTCCTTGAGCAGGAATGAAGAGACCCCACAGATTCCCGCCTCTGACGTCAGCCCTGGGAGCCCCTGGGGTGAGAAGAACACACTAGACCTGTCCTGACTTCCTGACACCCTGGTCTCTGAGAGACTGGGGACCTGGTGTGAGGAGCAGGGACTCAGGGGCGGAGAGGACAGAGCCCAAGCGAGTCGGTTTTTCCCATCAGGTGACCAGCTTTAGCATCAGTCCTTCCAATGCATATTCACAGTTGATTTCCTTTAGGATGGGCTGGCTTGACCTCCTTGCTGTCCGGGGTACTTTCAAGAGTCTTCCCCAGCACCACAGTAGTACCATTTTATACATAGTCTTGTGTATCTGTTAATCTCAAACTCCTAATTTATCCCTTCCCCTGCTTTTCCTCTTTGGTAACCATAAATTTGTTCTCTGAGTCTGTTTCTGCTTTGTAAATAATTTCTTTTGTAGCATCTTTTTAGATTCCACATATAAGTGATACCATACAATATTTGTCTTTCTCTTTCTGCCTGACTTCTCTTAATATGATAATCTCTAGGTCCATTTATGTTGCTACCGATGGCATCACTTCATTATTTTCCATGGCTGAGAAGGATTCCTGTGTGTGTGTGTGTGTGTGTGTGTGTGCACAAACCACATGTTCTTTCTTCTTTATCTAATCATCCACTGATGGACATTTGGGTTCCTCCATATCTTGTCTGCTGTAAATAGTGTTGCAATGAACATTGGGGTGCATGTATATTTTCATATTAGAGTTTCTGTCTTTTCCAGGTATATATTTAGGAGTGGGATTGTTGGATCATCTGGTAGTTCTGTTTGTAGTTGTTTAAGGATCCTCCATACGGTTCTCCCTATTGACTGTACCAATTTACACTGTTCACCAACAGTGTACAAAGGTTCCCTTTTCTCTGCACCCTCTCCAGCATTTATTCTTCATAGGTTTTTATGATGATGGCCATTCTGATCAGTGTAAGGTGATATTTCATTGGAGTGTTGATTTGTATTTGAATATTAATTAGGAGTGTTGAGCTTCTTTTCATGTGCCTGTTGGCCATCTGTGTCGTCTTTGCAGAAAGGGTCTTCTTTGGAGAAAGGGTTTTGTGTCAGGGTCACAGAGGCTGGGTGGCTCAAACTACGAACCGTGTTGGTTCAGGAGGCCAGCAACTGTGGTCAAGGTGTTGACTGATGCTGGTTCTCATGATGGAGGTGGAGGGTCTGTCCCATTTCTCCCCCCTCACTTCGGGGGCTTTGCTGGCCATGGTGGCCGTGTCTGGGCTTGGAGAGCTCCACCTTCCTCTTCACCTGGAGTTCTCCTCTGTGTCTGTCTGTCTCTAACTGTGTCCTTTGTATGGAGACAGCCGTCCTGTTAGAGGAGGTTCCATCTGCATGAGCTCACTTGACCACCGTCAGCTCTGAGAAGACCTTTCCTTTGTCTGTAAGGTCACGCCGAGGTACTTGGGGTTGAGACTCCAGCACCTGACTCTGAGGGGACGCGATGTTACTCCTCACACCCTACAAAGGCTCTAAAGTAAGAACACACTGGATTGTTCTAAGGATGAAAGGACGGCCTGTGTAGCTACTGGGGGTGAATCCAGGGGTGAGGAGAGCAGGCCACTAGGGTAGGAGCCAGATCAGGTGGGGCCTTGTGGGCCTGTGAGAACTGTGGCTTTGCTGTGTTCGGGGAAGGAAAGGCCCGGAAGGCCCTGAGCTGGGTGCCTCTGGGACTTTGTCCCCATCATCACAGAAACATGGAAACGGAGGCTCCCTGCTAGGTGCTGAGATGCTGTTGATGTTCAGGCCCATGGCTCTGCTCCTCTGCCTCCACCCCCCTCGAATAAACAGGGAACCCTAACCAGGTACAAGGAAATAAGTGAGAATGGAGGGGCGAGTGGTCAGGTCCCTTGCAGTCATGGGCTATCTCTCTATCCCTCGGTTCCTCCCCAGTGGTCAAATGAGGTGACAGTAACCTAGCGGGTTATTTGAGGTTTGAATTCTGTGATCCTTGCATGGTGCCATCCCAGGCCCTGGCAAGGACATGACCGTCCCAGTAGTTTCTGCTCTCTGTTCTACTCTAGGCTCTGGGCAGGGACCAGGGCATCTGCTGACAGTGGAGGCCATGGTGTGAGAAGGGATGGGAGGAAGGTGGCTCCCAAAGGTGAAGACACCCGGGAAAGATACCTGGCAGGGCGTCTGAGGTCCAGGGCAGCCCCAGGGTCGAGGCCAGATTGGTTAGCACAGATCTGCACTCAGCAGCCCTGGTCTAAGATGGGGGGATCTGCAGAGCATGGGCAGTGATGGGACCAGGGAGCTGAGGGGTGGGGTGGGGCCCAGTGTTGGGGGAAACCAAGCGCAGGACTGTCCCTGTCTGTGCTGGGAGAGGACCAGAGCCCAGCCACTGGGCTGTGAAGCCAGGGGACCCACCCTCCCTCCTGAGTGCTCCCAGGGTTTCAACTCCCTCTTTCTTCAAACTCACCTCATGCCTCTCTCCCGCTGTCCCGCCCTCCTTCCTGACCTCCCCACAGACTGCACGTGATGGACGGGTCCTCTGGCTCGCCAACCCCTGTCAACAGACAGTGTGGAGATGGGTGGAAGGAGTCAGCCCTCTGTGACCCTCCCCTCTGTGTCAGCAGGCTTGGAGGATGCTCAGACACGTGGGGCTGATGTCCGGCCCAGGGCTGTGAGCTTGCAGGCCGCTGTGTCAGGCCGCTGGCCCTTGTGGATCTGTGTTTCCACAGCCACGTGAGGCCCTGGGAGCCCTGGGAGATGAAGTTCAGTTGTCTGTCCTTCTGAAAGACTTATCCAGGTTTCTTCTCAAATGATGTCAAGAACCTGGAAACGTGGTCTGTGGCCTGTGCTATGCGGACCTGGCACTGTACCCTGACCATCCACATGAGGCAGCAGACTGGGAAGACGCGGTCTCGTGGGAGCTCCTGGAGCAGAGGCTGAGGATGAGCCCCGCCCAGATCCAGGTCTGCATGTGGCACTTGTCTCTGTCCATGTACATGTGTGTGTGTGTGTGTGTGTGTGTGTGTGTGTGTGTGCCCGGCAGAGAACATGAGAGGCACCACAGCACCCAGCCTGGGTTCCCCATCCCCACTGCCTGCAGCAGGGCCTGAGCAAGTCCCCTGACTGCCCAGAAGTGAGGCCCCACAGCAACACCTCTCTGCTGGTGAATCACTTGGGGACCTGATATCCACAGGCTCCCCGCCGGGGCCCTCCTGCTCTGACCCTGCAGCCTGCAGTGGGCAGACTGAGAACTGCCCATGTCCTGGTGGGTTCCTGGAGCACCAGGCCTCTCCCTTTCATTTTTCTCCCTCCCTCGCTTGGCGTTGCCCTGAATTCCCTTGGCCGAGGTGAGCCCGCTGAAAGGCTCAGACAGAGGATCCAGTTCACCAAGGTTCCCTTCCGTAATGTGATCTTACTCTCTAGTAGGCGTGACTTTGAATCACCTTGTTCTCCTTCTGTGTCCTGTCTTTGCACACAGATCTCGTGGACATTGGGGTCACTTTGCTGTGCCCAGAAAACCTAGGTCCTGACGAGGTGGAAGAGCTGGAGAATCAAGCCCTGCTACTCGATCTGCAACTGAAGTAATGACTGCGCTTGCTAACTCCCGGTGGCTGCCGCATCCTGTCCCGGGGAGGGCTGGGAAGGACATCTTCCAGGTGGACATCCCTGATCACCTGATCCCCTTTGGGCAGGAAGCCTGTCCAGACTAGGCTTTCAAGTGGAAGGTGACTGAGAGACCAGGTCATGGTGACACTGTCCAGTCGCCACTGTGCCCTGGACGTGCTCGTCTGGTTCGGTCTGAATTGGCCCCGCCCTGTGGTGGGCTGCCCACTTGGGGCAGGGCCGGGCCCAAGACTCCTATTGTGTGCTGCTGCCCTGGACTCAGCGAGAGTCCCTGGGACTTTGCCCTTTATGAAAAAATGGCATCGCCACTCGTTTTGGCCCTGCTGGGTCTGGGTGGTTGTGAATGTGTTGTTAAGAAACAAGTTAGTGTTTTTCCCTCTATGTTCTGGTCCAAACTCCCCAGTTTTGGAAGTGTCCAGCAGGTGATGGGGGAAGGCCAGGGGCTGGGCTGAGTGTCAGCAGCCAGCGAGGCCTCGGGCACGTGGAGAGGCCTGCAGGCCCAGAAACAGGCCGTGGTTTGTCTTTGCAGGTGACCCTTGCCTTGCTGTAAAGTGTCCCTTGGCTCACAAAGTGTGTATTTGACGCGCTGCCTGGCTATTGCACGTCCAAAGACAAGGGCTGGCATTCACCACCCTTGTACTTGACTTTGGAAACCTTGTACTTGGCTTTGCGTTTGGGGTCATGTGTTTGCAAGGCCTTTGGCTGGCGGGGTCACCCTGCTTTCCAGTAGGCCTCTTGGGGAGACCCCTGGATTGGGAGCTAGAGACTCTCAACTACTGATGAGAAACTTGTGGTATCACTGGGGGACCCAGGAGGAGCCCCTTCTGCTTTAGGGTGCATGACTCATGGAAGGTGACACCCCCAAGGTCAGGAGCCTGGCTGGGCTGTCTGCTGAGTGGCAGGCAAGGCGCAGGGACCGGCCCGTCCTGGGCTCGCCTCAGCACTCAGCTTGTGGGTCAGACCTTTGGCCGAGCGTGTGAAATGCTGCTGCTTCAGATGAAAATGGACCTTGAGGACTGGACTGAAGCTGGCCTGGGGTGTGGGCTTCCAGCCTCATATGGCTCATCCAGTGCCATGTGTGAATAGCATGGACAGACAGAAAGAACACAGACTCACAGTTCTTGTTCAATTCTTTATTTACTCCAGTGAAGTTTGCTTTACTTTATTGGAGCCAGAAATAGAATTTTATTACAAGGCAGTGCTCTTGAGTGTCCCTGGGGACCTGGAAGCTCAGGGATTGGGGTTGTCCTTGAACTGCTCACAGAGGGCACACTTGTAATCTGAGGACTCCTTCTCCTCGTCCACTTCAGGGGCCTCGTTTGGGGCCACAACTGGAACAGCCGCCTTCACGATGGAATAATAGGTGCTGTACATAATCATCTCATCACTGAACCATAATCTGGGTACTCTGGGAACTCTCCAGCGGTTCCCCTGTGGTGTCCCTTCCAGCAGTAGCTGGGGGTACAGGCGTGGCATTGCTGTACGTACCCTCTCCACTGGGGCCACCCTGCTCACTGGGAAGATGGTTTGCCCCGGCCTGCACAGCTACACTGCCCATAAACCAAAGGCCACAGAACACAAAAGAGTGCAGGGGGTTCTGTGAGCAGTTGGGGATCCCTTTGGGGCCTTCTTGTCAGCTTCTTGGGTGGACTCATTGTGATGGAATCGAAGAGAGTGTCTGGTCATCAACACTCGCTTCTTTCTCTTTGGAGTCATTGTTGTGCTGGTGGCAGGCTGAGCAGTTGTTATGGGGTCACCATTCCTCCAGATGTTCTGCAGGAAGAGAGGCTTGTCTCTCTGAAAGTTGGAGTTGTGATAGATCTGAAAGGAAATGGATTACTTTAGCCAATGTGGGGGAGAATAGCTATTCCTTGCCAACCTCATCCCCACCACAGCCCTGGCCTTCCCTAAGGAGGGAGACAAGGTCTCTTCATTCCTGGTAGGTTATGAGGCCCTAGTGAGTGTGCTCCCTAGAGCTCCCCCGGGGCCAGCCTCACTTGAGGTATTACTGGCCATCCTTGACATCAGGTGGCCTCTCAGGGTCTGGAGGCACCCATGTGGATCCTGTCTAAGGGGGTTTGTGGAACACAAAAGGCCCTGCTTTCTTCTCTTTCCTTGACCACCCTCTCATGAGAAAAAAGTTCTCCTGGGAAACTAAACCTGTCTAGCGCTCGGCTCATCTAGTCTAGTCTCCCTGGAAGGGATTTCTTCGGTGCCATCATCCTCTTCTTCCCCACAGAGCTACCCGAAGGATGGATTTTACTGAACTCATACAGGTTCAGTTCTCAGATGAAACTGGATGCTGTCTGTCTGGAAGATCCTGTCCACAACTCTGCCCTGGAGGACCTCTGTCTGGAAGAGATCTGCCTTGATGACCACTGTGTCTCCCTTGTCGTTCTAGTACACAGAGATGAAGACCACATGCTCTACGATCATCCAGAGCTTCCTGGGGAAGGATAGCCTGAGGACAGTGTTGTTCTCTTGCTTGTTGGCTGTTTCTGGGTTCGGGCCCTGTGGGTGGCGGGTTGTATTGGGAGCCCAGATCTGGGCTCTTGCATTGGTCACCCTGCTTCGCCAAAACCTCCCCTGAATGCACATTTGCGTTGTGGAGGAATCAGGGGCGTCCCCTGCTGCGGGCTCCCCATCAGTTGATGGGGCCAGCAGGGCTGCGTGTGCTTCATTGGAACTCTGACTATCCATGGAGCCAGTCTAGCTCAGGAGCATCCTCTACCCAAGCAGTGAACACTCAGGGCAGAAGGACCTCAGACCAGGGTTGGGGTGCCCCATAAATAATCTCTGGAGATTCTAGAATCTGGCAGCCAATTAAGTGGTCAGCTCCCTTAATCGTTTCATGATGTCACAGAAGTAATGTGGAAAGGCAGCCCTGGCCCAGTGTGGGGGAGGGGTATTTGGGCCGAGATGGGATCCCCAGCTTGTTTCTTGTCTGAAAGTACAGGAAAGCATGTTTCAGTTTGCCTGCAAAGGCTCTCATCTGCTGCCAGGCACCTTGTTTCAGGGGGCCAGGCCCTGGATGGGTTGACAAACGTGCCCCTGGCTCTACCCCCCTCCCTACAAAGAGGCAGGCCTGTGGCTGCCTTCTGTTAAAGGGCCAGGCCCTGGCAAACCCTGGCTCAGCTTCTACCAAGAGAGACCCCAGGGGTCAGATGGGCCCCTGGCGAATGGTCCCTCCCGGAAGATGGGGTCCGTAGTGAGCTGGATGGCCTAGCCTGAGTTGTTGGTCCCATTCCCCCAACCCCCATCCCCATCCTTGCCCCTCTTCGGGCTTTGGTCTCTTCCAGCTGGTGCTTCCGGTAGGTAGGTCCTGCTCAGATGGCTCCAAAGTCAGAGTCCTGTTGTCCTGCCCCCACCATCCCCCAGGTCGAGCTCTCCCCAGAGTAGGGCCATGCTCGAGCACAGTGGGAATGACCTCACATTCCACTTGACTGTTCCCCCAGCACCTGAGACACAGACTCCACACGATGCCGTGTGGGAGGGCACAGCCAGGTGCTCTGCTGAACTTGCAGCCTCCTGAGTTCTGCCCATGCCCGGACATCATCCCACTGGACATTACAGGTAGTTGTCTTCAGTTTCCATTTTTTCCTATAAAGACTGCTCACATGGCCCTAGAGTGCTCACCTTGGGAACACCAAGGTGTTTGCTTTTCCCACCCCCTTCCCAGAGTCTCGGACTTGGATTCAGACTCCCTGGAGGCTGCCTTGGAATCTGTTTCCTTTCATAAGTGGGGTGGTTTGGCTTCTGCTATCCCCGGCCCTGGCCTCCCATGGCCAACTTGGGTGTCATGTGGGTACATGCCCTTTGAAGGACTTGATTGGGGGCTCAAGGTACAGCCTGTTCTGTTGAAAACAAGCACTTCACTGGTCCTCTCCAAGGCCAGCTCTGATCTTCTCTGCCCCTGCCGCTGCCCCTGTCCCCATCACCACTGTGGACCTCTTCTGCCTTACCCAGATGGCTGGTACATTGAATGATTTTGTTGCCTCACAGGTTAGGTGCTTTTCAAGGGGCCTCCTTTACACACACTCACTCCCAGGGGTCAGTTCTGAGTTGTTGAGCTAGATGTGACCAAAGGAAGCCCCTGTCTACCTGTATTTGAAAATGGATGAGAGTCTGGGTGTGGGACTGGATGAAACCCAAGAGAGAGTCGCCTGTCTTCACTACACATGAACGACAGTGCAGTGGGTTTGGAGATGCATGTTCTCAAACCTTTGTGGGCCACTTTTCTTCAAAATCACCATGTAGGGGACAGAACAGCACCTTGGAAAGGCCCACGTGTGAGGACTCTAGGGCACTGCGCCCCTAGAGATAGTTTCCCATTAGTTCTGCCCTGCAGCAGGGTCATTTGCCCTGTGTGAGGGCCACAGCCTGGTGTCTGAAAGGGGAGAGCTAAGAGGGTATGGAAGAGGCTCTCCCAGGGCATTTCAGCCTGAGGACTGGTGGCCAGAATGGAGCTTGCAGCCTCGACTTGGGCTTGCTCCGTTGCCTTTGCCCTCCTAAACAGGTTGACAAAGCATTTCTTCAGGTTGGTTCATCTGACTGGAACATGACCCTGGAGGCTGTGATTATCCGTGGAGGCTCCTGGCGGCTCCTCCGAAGGGGGCCGAAGACTGGTATCTGTGGGCAGCCTGCCTCGGTCATTCCTCGTATGGAGCCTGTACTCCAGGCAAGACCTGCAATGTCCTGTCTGCAATTTGGAGGCTCGGCTGTTTTCACCTGTCTTTCCGACAGGGATGTCAGGCAATGCAGCACGAGGTCTTCCTGCCTGGGGACTATCAGGGTTCCCTCTGGTCTCAGATCTAGCTACCCTCAGTCCTCCCTCAGGGTGTTCACCTTGACTTCTGGTAGGACCTAGGCTCTGTCCTCTCCCCATCATAGTCCCTGCTCCTCACACCATGTCCCCAGTCTCACAGACCCCGATGTCAGGAAGTCAGGACATATTTAGTATGCTCTTCTCACCCAAAGGGCTCCCAGGGCCGATAACAGGGCCTGAGACCTGTAGGGTTCCATCAGTCTGGTAAGACTTGGGGTCCCTAGAAACTTCACTCAGGGGTCCTTTCAATCTTCCCTCAGGGACCTCAACTTGTCTCTGTGTAGGACTTCGGATTCACTCCTCTCCCCTACTAATGCCCCATCCCTTATATCGGGACTCCAGTCTCTCTGAGACATGGATGTCAGGAAGTCCACTCCCTATACTAGGACACCAGTCTGAAATCCAGATATTAGGAAGTCAGACCCCTGTACCAGGTCCCCATTTTGAGGCCTGTATGTCAGGAAGTAAGCCACCTATACCAGGTTCCCCAGTCTCTCTGAGACCCAGATGTCAGGAAATGCAGCATGTGTTCCTTCCACCCTACGTCCTCCCAGAGCCCACTCTGCTCTGGGGTCCAGGGTCCCCTCAGTCCTCCCTCAGCGTCCTCACCTTGACCCTCCAAAGAACTAAGATCTTCCCCTCTGCCCATCTGAGGCACTACTTCTTCTAACAGTTGCCTCATGTCTCTGAGGTGCAGAGGCAGAAGTCAGAACAGGCTGCCAAGTGCTCATCCCACCACCAGGATCGTCCAGGCCTAACAGCAGGGTTAGGCATCTGTGAGGTTCCTTATATTCCCCCCTACAGGACCTCATCTAGAGCCCAGGCAGATCCGGGGATGCCCCTTGTGTTGACCCGAGGTGGGACCCTCACATCAAGGCTCAGGGAGCACAGAAGGTGGATGAGCTCATGCTGCATTTCCTGACATCCAAGTCTCAGAGAAACTGGGGATCTGGGAAAGGGGACGCGTCCTCAGGTGAGCAGAGGGAAGAAGCCCAGCTCCTCCAGAGTTTCAAGATGAGGACCCTGAGGGAGGACTAAGGGGACCCTGGAACCCAATCAGAGGAGAACTCAGAGAAGGCTGTAGCTGCAGTTGGTCCTTGGCGGCCCTGGGATAGGATGAGCCAAACGTGCATGGTCTGACTTCCTGACATCCAGGTCTTGGAGAGGCTGTGTCCCAGGTATAAGGGGCAGGGCTTCAGTTGCAGAGAGGCGAGAATCCCAGGTCCTGCCTGGAGGCAAGGTGAGGTGCCTGAAGGAGGACTGAGGGGACCCTGAGTGAGGACTGAGGAGACCCTGAGTGAGGACCAATGGAACCCCACAGATCCCCACCCCTGTAGTCGGCCCTGGGAGCCCTTGGGGTGAGAAGAGCACACTAGGCCTGTCTGTCTTCCTCACGTGACGGTCTCAGAGAGACTGGGGATCTCATGAAAACGGCAGGGTCTCAAAATGGTGGACAGGACAATCCCCGGTGCTGCCTGGGGTCCAGTCTCCATGCCGGGAAGTACGGAGGAGGTTAGACCCCAACAGGAAGGGATCTTGGCCCTTTCAGGAAGGTCTTGGAGGGCCCAGAGTGGGGTGCACAGGGTGAGCAGTTTCTTGACCTCTGGCATAGAGACCTCGGGAGGTAAGGTTTCTCGGGTAGAGGCCAGAGGCTTCAGGTCGGCAGAGGCTGGACTCCCCAACCCAGGTGGAGGACTGAGCAGACCCACGCCCCTGTGGTCAGTGCTGGGAGGCCAGGCAGGGTGTGAGGAGGAGCTGAGGACAGAGCATGTCCCCAGCCGAGGACCCGCGGGAGGCCCTGGGCAGGTGTGGCTACATGTGGGGCCCGTCAGTGCTTTCTATTCATTCTCGGGTCTTGTTCTGAGTTTCCCTGTATGCCTCCAAAGGGGAGGGTCCAAGCCGTGCCAGGGGGGAAAGGTGAGCACTACAAGGGCACCCCGAGGGGACCTCCCACCACACAACTGGATGTGCTCACTGAGCCCACCCCTCTTACCATCACAGAAGGCCCAGGGCTGTGCCACTGTATAGCCCCTAGATGTTCCCTCCATTTCTCACACAGGAGCTTCAGGAAGCAGGAAGTGAAGACAGAGGTCTAAAGCCTGTGTCCTGGAGATGAGAGAGCAGAGAAGGCCCAGGCAGTATCTGGAGTCAAGGTGAGAGGGTGCCCTGAGTGTGTACTAGAGGCTCCCCATCCCAGAACAGAGGGGGGGCACACGAAGGCCCTAATCCCCCGCCCCCCACATTGTGGGCCCCGGAAATCTCAGGCTGTGCTGACCACACCCTGGGGAGCCATCACACTTCCTCCTTCAGGTAGCCAGGGGACTGTCTTCCTAGGAGGAGCACCCCTGTGAGGCCTGAGAGCACCCCTCAAGAGGTGACCTATAAGTGGCCTGTGTCAGACCACCTGGGATGCATTTCTCATCCGAGGCTGCTCACATGCCCTCTGCCCCAAGGCCTGTGGTCCCCATCTGTACCTCTGCCTCACTTCCGTGTCTTGTTTGATCCCAGGCATCATGCTTGTGGTCGAGATGAGTGAGTTGAGTAAGCCCAAAGAAGACCTTCAGGACCCAGTTGAGGCCCAGGGCCCAATGGAGGCACAGCTCTTGGAGGCTGAGGAGGACGAGGCCACATCCCACTTGGCCTCCTACCTCCCAGCATCCTCCTCTGCTCCTTTGGAGGCCTTGCCCCAAGAAATTCTGAATGAGATGATGGCTAACCTGATGAAGTTCCTGCTCCTCAGTTATCGAGCCAAGTAGCTGACCTCCCAGGCAGAAATGCTGAAGGTCTTCAGGGATAACCAGCAGCACTTCCCAGTGGTCTTCAGGCAAACCTTGCAGTGAATGCAGCTGGACTTTGGCATGGAGGTGAAGGAGGTAGATGCCAGGCAGCACATCAGCATCCTGGTCACCACCCTGGGCCTCACCTGCAATACGATGCATAGCGGTGGGCAGGGTCTGCCCAAAGCCAGCTTCCTGGTGCTGGTCCTCAGCCTCACCATATGGAATAGAGACCATGCCCCTGAGGAGGAGGTCTGGGGAACACTCAGCAGGATGTGGTTGTGTGCTGAGGGTGAGCACTGCGTCTTTGGGGAGTCCAGGGAGCTGCTGCCCCACATGTGCCTGTGGGAGGGGAACCTGGAGTACCAGCAGTTGCCTGACAGCCACCTTGCATGCTATGAGTTCCTGTGGGGTCCCCAGGCGTATGCAGAGACCAGCAAGTGGCAATTTATGGCATTTCTGCTCAGGGTGAAACAAAGGGCTTTGAGGGCCTTCCCACCCCTTTCTGCAGAGGCTGCCAGGGAGGAGGATGAGGCAGCCTGAGCCATAGCAACAGCCAGGCTGGTCCTTCCTTCTGTGATTGAACAGGGAGCAGTTAGCCATCTCAGAAGTGAGGGCCAAGGCCAGTTGGGGGAACCAGTGTGTAGCATCTTTGGGTTCCTGTTCTTTACCATGGTATAGAGATTCATCTCTGATTTCTTTAGAAAATTTTCAAACTTTGTTTTCATAGAAGGCTACATTAACTTCAGTGTCTTATCTTTGTGAATGATGTTAATCCCTGTATGTTTATGGATACCCAGTTCACAAACAAGAGTTTTACTCTTTTGTAAAATTGATTGAAGCACGCCAGCTGTGATGGACCTCGCATAAGCATGGCCTTGAGGAGCTACCCCTAGCCCAAGGTCAGGGGCAGCGACCGAGAGCGCCAGGCTGTGACGGCACAGGTGCGGCCGAGAGGAGCTACCCCACATCCGAGGTCAGGGGTGGTGACCAGGAGGAGCTACCACACGCCCCAGGGCAGGGGCAGGGGCTGAGAGGAGCAATCCCACGGCTGAAGTCGGGGCGTCGGCCGAGAGGAGCAACCCCACGTCCAAGGAGCGACGGCTGTGCTGGCGCAGCAGGGCTGAGAGGAGCTATTCTTTGTTCAAGGTCAGGAGGGGTGGCCGTGAGGAGATACCCCTCATCCAAGGTAAGGAGCAGCGGCTGCGCTTTCCTGGAGCAGCCATGAAGAGATACCCCACGTCCAAGGTGAGAGAAACCCAAGTAAGACAGTGGGTGTTGGGACAGGGAATCTCTTTGCAGTGACAGTTTCTCAGACCTTCGTGGTATTTTTTTTTTTTTTTCGATGACACTGACAATTTTGAGGCGTCCTGGTTAAGAATATTGTAGGGACTTCCCTCATGGTCCAGTAGTTGGGACTCTGTGCTTCCACCCCACGGGGTGTGGGTTTGATCCTTCGTTAGGGAACTAATATCCTGCATGCTGAGTGGCCAAAATGATTTAAAACATCCAACTAGGTTGTGGCAACCACGAGTCCCTCTTTATCCCTCACCACTTTACTCTTGAGCTCCACACAGTGCAGGACACTCTGACTGTCCACTGAGTTAAGGGTGGGGTGCACAGCTATTTGAATATCATGGTCCTTTTCTCAAATAAAAGGACAATTCCATGGACTCCTACAAGAAAGCGATGGAGTTCTAGGAAATCAATCACAGCCACTCTCAGTTCAGCACAGCTTCTGCAGACATTGGTTCTTACTCATCACAGGAGCAACTGCTAACACTCGGTGGGAGACATGGAGTTACCATGATAGAGAACATTTCTCCAGTTCCCAGAGGGGGAAATGGGCGTCCTCAAGATCTCACCCTGGGGAGCCAGCTCTCTGTGCAGCCTTTCCCAGCTGGCAGGGTTTGGCAAAAAGGGTTTTGTGGAGGGAGAGTGGGAAAGACTCAGATAAGCTGAAGCAGGGGTAGAGTGGCCATTGCCCTGGCCTCTGTAAACCTGGACATTGGGTTCAAACCTAGAGCGGGGGAAATAGCCTGGGAAGCCCACAGTCAGGGCAATGTGACCTAGAACAAAGGTTTCTCTACATCAAGAAGGAAAGCCTCTGTTTATTATCTCTACCGATATTGCAACATAGATGCTCATCTCTTTGGGAGTGATTCTGGCTCCTGACTCCTGGGTGGGGAGGCCTTGGCTCTAATCCAAGGCAGGTGGGTCTCTCTTTGTATCGCTTCATTCAGATAACTGGAACCAAGAGTAATTCATCACTTTGTGAAGGATTAATCAAATGTGTTTCAAGTTCACTTCAAAGACAGTTCAACTGATGAAAATATACAAGACCCGTTACACATGAGGGCCATAAGCAGGTGCAAAATTCAGAACCGGACTTTAGGAGAGCAGAGCTCTATGGAGATACTGTTAGACAGTCTTCACCCATGTCTGCTGGTCTGTTGCATCTTGCTCTGTCATGTGGTGATTACTAAACTTGACTGTGTGGTGGTAATCGTCAAAGCTGGGGAATGGACTCACATTGTTCTCTATTTGCATGTGGGGGGAGAGGTGACGCTTTCTGAGTAATAAATCTTTGAACCAGGAAAGTGATTCTTAACCTGCATGTGTCCTCTAGTCCCATTAGGTATTCCTGCTGTTCAGTCAGGGAAAGTAAGGGAATTTGAAATTTAAAAAGTCTGACAGTGTACAGATGCCAACTTTAAGAAATTAGAACAAGCAGAAACGGATTCTGATCTGCAGAATCCTTGTGGGATGTGGGAGTGTCATGTGGGATGCTGTACTGGAGCCAGAAGCGACAGTAGCTCCTAAGGGACGTTTAAAATTTCCCTCACACTGGTTCTTGCTCCAACCTGGAAGTATCACACGGCTGAATGACACCACCATTGCAGTTAGGTTTACTCCACTAGAAGAGAAGCCTTGCTAGCAAGGAGGGATGGAGTTCAAGCAAAAATCTTGCCATGTTGATACGATACATTTATAAATGTTGACGTCGTATTAGCTACCACCTCCATTCTATCACATTTGTGTGTGTGTGTGTGTGTGTGTGTGTGTGTGTGTTCAGAATGTAGAAGTTCTACCCTCTTAGCAACAGTCAAGTATTTAATACAGAATAGAGCTATAAGCATCCTGCTGTACACTGGATTCCACAACTTGTTAGTATTATAAGTGGGGGCTGGTACCCTGTGAACAGTCTCTCCCTATTTCCCCATCCCCTAATTCTTTGTAAACGCCACTCTCGTCCCCATTTCTCTGTCTGTCCTTTGTACTTTTTAAATTTATTTTTATTTTTTTTATTTTTGTTCTTGTTGCTCAGCATGTGGGTTTTTAGTTCTCCAACCAGGGATCAAATTCATGTTCCCGGGATTGGAAGTGCAGAGTCTTAGCCACTGGACTACTGGGGTAGTCCCAGGTTGTCCTTTTTAGATTCCACATGTAAGTGATAACAAACTGTATTTATCTTTCTCAGTGTCACTTATTCTACTTAGCATAATGCCCTCAAGCTCCTTTCAAGTTGTTGCAAATGGCAGAATATGTTGAATATGTCACATCCTCTTTATCCGTTCATCCACTGACGGACACTTAGATTGTAACCATATTTTGGATACTGTGAACAATGCTGTAATAAATGTAGGAGTGAAAATATCTTTTCAATATCTTATTTTCATTTCCTTTTGAATATACACTCAGATGTGGAATTGCTGTATCATATGGTAGCTTCCTTGATAGTGTTCTTTGATTCACAGACTTTATTTATTTGACCAGGTCCAATTTATATATGTCTTTCTCTTTTTTTGCCTCTGTTTTTGGTGTCATATCCACAAACTCTTTACCACCTAAAATATTTCTAGATATATACATAAACACATGATAGGATGTACATCTATACATCTTTGCTCTCTCAACCAAGAGGTCCCCAGACCAATGACCCTTCAGTACCAATGAGCACAATGAGTGTACAGATCTAGATTTGCCAATACCTTTTGACAATAAAAGGAACAAGGGTTCCATGAAAAATTGATGATTCTAGAATTGGGTCAGGAAATATGGGAAATGAGCCTGGAACATCTTTGTAGCATGTGAAAAAAAGTACTCAGAAATTTTTCAAAAAAGGAAGCAAAATGTCCAGGGATATGACAAAGTTATTTACAAAGGGAGCTGACAGGAAGAACTCCCAATAGCCAATCTGAGAACAATTTGAAAATAAAAGTATATAAAGTTGTATTGATTTTAACCCAAAGTGCAGTATAAATACCATGAGTCCATACTGAGAAAAATTAACGATTTCTTAATTCCACAAACAAGGATAGACAACTCTCCCACAGAGAAAAATTCCAGTTTATGCAGACACTCCCACTTCTAGAAAGTGGAGTCTAACTCCCTACCCCTGAAGCCATGGACCATACATCGTGACTTTCTTCCAAAGAGGACAGATGGAAAGGGGACATAAAACAATCACTTTATCACATAGACACCTGACAAGCACTACCTCAGCCACATGATCAATGAGAGCATCACCAATGATGAATTGTACTAATAGAATACACACTTGCTATGCTGTGATGAGAATGGGATTTTACATCTGTAATATTCCTCCCCCAAACTCGTAATCCCAGACTAGTCATGAGTAAAATATCAGACAAATCTCCCAATCAAGGGACATTGTTCAAAACATCTACTGAGTACTCCTCAAAACTGTCAAGATCATCCAAAACACAGAACTGTGAAAGCTAAGAGGAACCCAAGGAGACATTACAACTAAATGTTAGGGTGATTTCCTGGCCAGGATCCTGGAGCGGGTAAAACCTATAGAAATCTGAGTAAAGTGTGGGCTTCAGTTGACAATAAATAATGCATCAATACTTCCTCATTAATTGTAATAAATGTATCATATTAATGTAAGATATTAGGAATAGGGGAAGCTGGGAGAGGGCATATGAGAATTCCACTATTTTCACAAATATTATTCAAATCTTAAAGGATTACAAAGGAAAAGGTCAAAATAAAATCTATTGACAGTTTCAAAATAAAAGACACAAGGAAACTTACGGCAAAACATGCTGAGTATGATAAAAAAGGAAATAGAAAGGAAACCAAGCACAAGCACACGGCACTTGTAGGTGTGAAACAACCCTTCCTAAATTATCTTCAGCTTTTCCTCTCCCTTAACCTTCAGTCTCATATAATAAACTAACCAGTCCTCTTCCACCACAGAAACATCTCTGGATCCAATTTTTCTCAAGCCCCACAAACACTGCCCTTATCCAAACTCATAGATGTTTTCCCTGGATATGACAAGAGCCACCAATCGAGGCCAGGTGTAGACCTAGAACCCTGTATTGCTCAAAAACCACTTTAAGACGTCTGCCAGTGTTATTTGCCACAGATGTCTGACAAGTGCCAGGCAGGGGTCAGTGTCTTGACAAAGAAACAAGGGTCCAGAGCAAAACTTAAGCTGTGCATATGTGTGTACGTGCTTAGTCGCTCAGTATGTTCGACTCTTTGTGACCCCACAGACTGTAGCCCACCCA